CATTGCTAAAGTTTGTTAGTGCTTTGGTGCCTTTTCTACAAATGACCACCAGTTTTCATTCATATTTCAATAAATGAAATAATAATGACCAAGCCTATCAATAAAGGGACACCATGCCTACAGCTATGATTGATGGCAGATATTCGCACATCCCTTTGGCCCTCTGCCTATGCATTTGTGGGGGCCCAGAAATTGAGGATTTGCTTGTTTTCTTGTTCATTACATTCTGAACTGAGAGCCAAATTTCTGGGATCTATTTGGCCTCATTTGGATCCTAATGCTGTTTCAGGAAAGTTTTATTTCCTGTCCAATGCTGACTCTATTGTAACTCGTAAGGTTTCTCTTTTTGCTCTGGCAGCAATGAAGATTCAGGTTAGATATACTGTCAATATTGCTGTTGGTTGCTCTGGGGATGCTCTCATTTAATTGCAGTTTTATTGTCTATTTTAACCAAACTGAATTTTAAATCTTTTACATGCAAGTTTATTATGTAATTTATTGTATATGGTATTTTTGTTATGCTGTTCCCACATGTTGTATTGTATTTTAACACTTTGTATGCAAATGGCCTTTGATGTAAGCATTAATAAACGATTCACTGATTGAATAAAGGGATAGTGGCTCAAGGTTAAGATGCTGTCTGTGCTGACTGCAAGATCGGCAGGTTAGCAGTTCGAGGCCCAAGCATCGCATGACAGAGCAAGCTCCCACCACTAGTTCCAGCTTCTGCCAATCTAGCAGTTCGAAAGCATGCAAATGCAAGTAAATAAATAGGTACCACTTCAGTGGGAAGGTAAACAGCATTCTGTGCAGTCATGCTGGCCACATGACTCACAAAGTAGTCTTTGACAACGCTGGCTCTTCAATTTAGTAATGGAGATGAGCACCACCCCCTAGAGTCAGACATGGCTTGACAACTTTGTCAAAGGGGAATATCTTTACCTTTTACATATCAATAGAATGTCTGAAACATGGCTGGTGATTCAATAATTTCTTATATTTTTTGGCTAGCATGTTCAACAACCCAGCAGTTACAAATTAAACTTTTTTTTAAAAAAAATCCCAGACATTTGATTCTAGTGCCATTCAAAAGATTAGGAACATTACCTTGAAAATCACAGGCTACTAATTCACCTGAAGACATTTTCTGATTTGGCATGATCTCCTTTTTAAAAGCCAAATGTCCTTTAATTAGAATGTCATTTATCATTACTGGACTGTCAGTAGTATTGTCAATAAGTTCAACTTCAGCATTATTATTGGTTAAAGAAACTACTTTGGCCTGAAGCTTCTTTCCAGCTATGCACTTCTGAAATGTTGTTGTTGCTTCTTTGGTCCATTCCTCATTTACTGGCTTTACACCTAAGAAAATGAAGTGTTATAGAAGCACATTTTAATCTCCATATAATGCTTTTGAATTCAGCAATTTTTGACACCCTTTCTAGAGATAAGTACCACTGGGCTACATGCAATTGCTAATTTCTATCATCACGGATCTACTGAAGCAGTAAGATTTAAATGAGTTTTACTTATTATTCAGCAAGTAAATCAAATAAGATTATCACACAGGAGGGCTAAAGTGTCTATAAAGTGCCTTTAAATTGTCAAAAATGCACAACCGGGGTTCACATGCTTTTGCATTTGTCGCGTCTGTAAAGTGTCATGGATGTGTTCCCTGCTTGCCTATTCCGTCAGTAACGCATCCTTGGAGCCATCATTTTTCAATAATGGAAAATTGCATTATTGAAAAATGACAGCTCCAAGGACACGTTACTGACAGATAGGCAAGTGGGGAGCCTGGGACGTGTCCATGACACTTTACAGACACGATAAACATGCAAGCATGTGAACACAAATCGCATGTCTTTGACAAGTTAAAGGCACTTTAAAGACCCCTTAGCATCCCGTGTGATAATCTCCAGTGGTTCTGCTCTAGTTGAAACTAGTAATTGTCTTTAGCCCACAAACTTGAGACACAAGTACAATGCAAGAAGAAGACTATACTGTAAAATTTCCTTCCAGTATTACAAAAATGCATAAGCCACTTTGGGCTTAAAACATTCTGTTATCAAATTTGAATCAGCTATCTACCAGTAAAAATCAAGACGTTAATTATACTTACTAAGGGCCGTTACAGACTTCCAGAAATAATGCAGCTTGAGTCCACTTTAACTGTCCTGGTTCAGTGCTAGGGAATCATGGGAATTGTAGTTTTTCCTAAGACATTGAGCCTTCTCAGTCAGAGAGCTCTGGTGCCACAATAAATTACAGTTCCCATGATTCCCTAGCCCTGAGCCAGGACAGTTAAAGTGGACTCAAGCTGCATTATTTCTGGCAGTCTGTAAAGGTCCTAATATCACTTGGGAGAAAAGTAAGTTATTTTACCAAATTGCCAATCTCATGAATGTACAATATTCATACACATGCATACCCAAAATAATTTCCTCTTAAAAAGAACAAACATTTAGGAAAATTTAGGAACCATAAAAAAACTAGATCCTACTGATGGATGAGAGTATAGTTTAGGAACCATAACAAAACTAGATCCCACTAATGATGAGAGTATAGCTTACTTATTTCTAAAAAAAAAAAAAAAAAAGGTCATAGTCTTATGGTGAAGAATATAATTGTACAAATACCATGAATAATAAAAGGTATAAAACTGAACAGCTACCTGAGCTCCAGTGCCTCCTTGAAGTTAGGGGTTCACTGAGAAAGATTGGATTAAAAGGTAAAGAAGTAATGTAAGTATTATATTTTTTTAAGGAGTAAGAAAATGATAAAGTGTTCATTCTTCTCCAAAGGATGAAGTCCTTTATTCAGGCAACATTTGGAAAGGAAAGTTAGAGCAAGTGTGAAAACAGACTATCCGATCCCATGCACACATACATGGGTGCATCTCAATACAAAGCAGAGTGCTGCTAATTGAGACACTCTTCCAGTAGTGTAATGGATACTAGAAAAAATAGCTTGAAAGTTAGCAATCTGAATGAGGTGTCACTTTGCAACTCAAATAGTGGACCTGCCCATCTGTTCAGATTTCCATGTAGGAAATCTATGCAAGGTAGGACTTTGGCCAAGATGGGCAATTCTTAGTACACAATTTCCATGTTGTTTATTTTTAAACATCGAAAGATACTGAAGGATTCCACAAGGGCAAAAACACAGTCTCCCAGATAACCTCCCAGCTCAGGAGTGAACTGGAAAGCTGTCTGGTAGAGACACATGCCCTGAAAACTATAATATTCCCAATGGCAAAGCTGAAGAATCACAAGGATTCCTTAAAGTTGTCTAGACAGAAGCATCTGCAAAGATTTACAATATTATTGAAAGACCATGATGAACAGGGACAGAGAAACCTCTGCTCAGTTGGTGATTTATTATGATTAATAATAATAATAATAATAATAATAATAATAATAATAATAATAATAATAATTTTATTTGTACCCCACGTGCAATCAGGGCGGCTTGATTGAGTATAAACAATCTGCATTGTAAATATTCAAAATGCAGTTTTCATTGAGAAAGTATTGCAAGATAAAACTATGTGAAACTAAGCTGATCTGATATCACAGCACTAAAAAATTGAAGACCAAACTAAATGGCAATTTGGACTAGAAATAAGAAAGAGAATCAGTATCTCCTTGACCTAATTAAAAGGTCTATATGGAAGCCATATTTTAGAAAAGGGGAAATAAATATTGCCTCTGATGCCATGATTTAAGCAGAGTGTGATTTACATGACATCATAAACATGGCCACTAGAAAAATGTCCACAACTAGCCTAGATAAAACTGACCCTGAGCTCATTAATATCCAAGCCTTAATATTTGATATGTCTAATCAGAATTTAGGTTTGAATAAATGTGTAAGAAAGAAATAGGAATTTAGAGCAGAAACTGGACTTGTTACAATTAAGATATTACAAGTAAACCATTTTAAAGAGTTTGCTGAAAAACAGTTCAAGGGGAACACGGTTTCAGTTCAGAATCTCACATCAGTTACACACAAACTTGAAAAGGAGATCTCTGATAATTCGAAGAACTGACACTTTACAGCAGGATTTGTAATAATAATAATAATAATAATAATAATAATAATAATAATAATAATATAATTTATTTATATATCCTGCCTCTCCCAGCTGATTGAGGCGGGAGTACAAAGATAAAAGGAGAACAATACAACAACGTTAAAACATAGCAATAAACCATAACAAATTAAAAATGATAAAAATAAAATTCATACAATTGAATTATTAAAATTGCAATAAAATTACAAATTATTAAGATTACGATAAAATTGAATTGTACAAGGCAAAGGACAGAATTATGATCCTGGAATTAAAATCAAAGGAAACACAGATTGGGTTAAGAGCCATTCCAGAAGAGTCAAGTTACTTAAAAGTCTTAAAAGTTTTTGTAGGGCTTATAAACAGCATGGGTGAAGAACTTGACAAGAAGATAGAAGCAATATATAGGCAAAACTCTCCTTATGCACTTCCAAGAGATGTGATAATTTGTTTCACAAATAAAAGAATCAGAGGCGAACTATTGAGACCACACTTGAAAAGGCTTAAAATAAACAATAAAATAATTATGCTAAAAGATATGGCCCAAAGAATGCTGAAAACTCATAGTGAGTATAAATTATTTGTGACAGTAGTGAGAAGATAAAAAGAGAGATAAAAAAAGCAAAGCTGCGTCATTTATATACCGCTTCATACCGCACTATGCACTGTCTAAGCCAGGGGTAGGCAACCTTTCCCCTTTAAGGGCTGAGGGACTTCAGCTCCCAGAATCCCAGGAGCTATTGGCCAACATGGGACTATTGGCCAACATGGCTGAGGCTTATGGGAGCTGAAGTCCCTCGGCCCTTAAAGGGGAAAGGTTGCCTACCCCTGGTCTAAGCGGTTTACAACTGTAAGCTCATTGCCCCCCAACAGCTGGGTACTCATTTTAGCAACCTCAGAATGATGCAGGCCTGAGTCAAGCCTGAGCCCTGGCTAGTATTGAACTCGCAACCTTATGGAGTGGCTGCAGTATAGGCATTTAACCACTATGCCACCAGGGCTCCTGGTGATTGATTAAATGGTAGTCCTAGAGGGTTTGATAACTATTCGTGCTGGTAAAAAAGTATGATAAACTTTTGAAGAGAGAAAGAAATCTGTTCAAAATGTTGAAGAGACCCCAGATGGAGTCATTTAAATGGCTGAGAAGTTAAGAAAAAACAGTAACAACAACGAAATAAGGTAATCTTAATAAAACAACTAAAATGAATCTGAAAATCATTCCAGGAATGTAAATGGACTGAATTCACCCCAGTAAAGGCAAAAAATTAGCATAGAAATCCCAAATATGAAATTATTTGTTTCAAGGACTCTTTAAAAAGACTATAAATTTTTGTAGAATAGAAATATGGGCCTAGAGTTTGTTATGTAAAAAGAATGCTTTTACATAAATCAAACATCAATGCATCCCTTAGGGAAGGCTATGTTCCAACATGTCTAAAGGAATCAGTTGTTAGACTGCTTCTAAAGAAGCCTTCCCTGGACCCCCTGGATTTGAAAAACTACAGGCCTGTATAACATCTGCCATTCTTGAGCAAGGTGACTGAGCGGGCCATCGCCTTTCAACTCCAAGCAATCTTGGATGAAACCGATTACCTAGATCCATTTCAAACCGGCTTCAGGACGGGATATGGGGTGGAGACTGCCATGGTCGCCTTGGCTGATGACCTTCGTGTGGGCATTGACAGGGGAAGTATGACCCAATTGGTGCTTCTAGACCTCTCAGTGGCTTTTGATATGATAAATCATAACATCCTCTTGGAACGCTTGGGAGACTTGGGAATCGGAGGCACTGCATTGTTCTGTTCCTTCCTCTCAGGCAGATTCCAGAGGGTGATACTGGGGGACAGTTGCTCCTCAAAAACAGAGCTTAATTGTGGCGTTGAGTGTATGCAGTAAATATTCTTTTTAATGTCACCTCATTACTGTCCTCAGAGACTTGCTGCTTTGCAATCATCTGAGGTGAATTAATTCATTAGTTTTCCCAGATCACAATTTGCTGTGGAGCAGTCAGCAGAACCATTACTCTTTCCTTGATCAATGCTTTTTGCTTTCTTTTTTTATGTTGGCAAAGATGGATGGGAATAGTCAGAGTCCTCAACACGTGTTTTTCTTCTGTATATTTAACCTTTTTCATAAATTTTATCCCTGACGAATTGAAAGCTGTTTGATCAAAAGGAAAACACATCTTGCTGCCTAGGCAGCAAATTGAAAAACTGGTATGAGGGGAGAAGGAACCAAGTTAAACCAGAAAAGAACATTTGACTTTGGACTTCTGAATCATCTGCTTGCATGCATGGAATAACCCAATAGTACCATCCAGAGAATGAGATTATGGCTGGATTATTTTTTGGGTTAAAAATCCCTACACTAGACCATATTCAGTTTCACACTCAGCAAAAGATTATTGATGTTGTTTATAGTGTAACTTTCTTTCTTATTTGCAGTTTGATAGATTATTTTACATCTGAAAGCCAAGAATTTACCTGATAGACAACACCTGATTGCCTGAAAAGGGAGTTTCATAAATGTTGCTGAAATTGGTCTGATATTATCCAGAGTAACTTCTTCACAATTTCCATAATCTACAAACAGAACTTGACAGACTTCAACAGAAGCAGCCTTTTTTACCATGGCTCGGTACCACCTACCATCATCTGAAATTAATGAAAAGCACAAATATTTTGTATTATCCAACCACCTAGATTGCACAACATGCAGGCTCCTAGGGATGCCCTAATTCCCACTGTCTAAATTTCCTGCCCCACTGTTGCTAGGAATGGAGAGAAGAATGAAGTATATCAGGTTTGCTAAGAGTGAGGCTGGAGAGAAGGAGAGAAGAGTATCACTGAAGCATATATACATGCACATACATGGCCCCTACATCCTGAGTCAACATCATGTGGCTTTTAGATCCAAATATTGAACACTTTATACTAAGCAAACAAATTTACTTTCACTTCAGAAATAAGAGTTTGACCTTTCTCATCATGTTATTTTGGTGTATACAAATATAACAGATGCATACTTTCTTCCCATTCCACATTGGTGGTTCTTTCTATGAAACATTAAACTTGTTCAACCAGAATTCAGGAAACATGAAAAAAATCCTGTTCAGAGTTATTAATACATCAAAGCCTAGAGGCACCTTCAACCCAGACAATAAAATTCTACAGATCTGTTTTACTAAAAATTGGGAGTTAGAAGAAATCCTAACACATATACTGTAGTTTGCTTTTTCAATTTAGCAAATATTTAAGACTTCACATACATACATACATAACCAAATTTTCCTTGAGGATAGAATAAATATAATTTCTTTCAGAAAACTAATGTGTGTGTGTGGGGGGAATCAGTACCATACAGAATGAGAAACTGAAAACAAACTTACCAGAGAAGTAAGCACAACACAGCTCACCCTTTGTGACTCTGGAAACATTTGGAGCTGTTTTCTGACAGTATTCCGCTAAAGATGAATTGAGTTCTTCTAGTGCAGTCAAGTCTGCAAAAGTAAGACTGAAACACTTTACCCTTACCCATCCTTTCATACTGTAAAATGATTATTAAAATTTAATCAGAGTATATCAGAGTACAGGTTGAGTACCCTTATCTGAAATGCCTGGCACCAGGTGTTATTATTTTTCTTCTGATTTTGGAGTATTTACACATATATAATGAGATATTCTAGAGATGGAACCCAAGTCAAAGCACAAAAATCATTTATGTTTCTTATACACATATCCTGGAGGCAATTTTATACAATATTTTACATAATTTGTGTATGAAACCAAGTCTGTGTGCACTGAACCATCAGAAAGCAAAGGTGTCACTATCTCAGGAACCCATGAAAAAGTTTTTGATTTTGGAACATTTTGGATAAGGGATACTCAACCTATAGAAGTCTTCCATTCAGTATGTGATTTCAATCAATTAAAGCTTCATAAATAGCAATTATTTTAAAAATGCAATCAGTATTGTTGTCGCAGTAACTATATAACCATATGGCATGAGGTGTGAAATGTTTAGAGAAAAAGTATTGAATTTGAATATACAGTTGCCCCTCCCAATTCGTGGGGGATCCGTTCCGGACCCCTCCCCCGAAAATGGGAACTTGCAAATATTGGAGCCCCATTGAAAATAACGGCGCACATGCCACCATTTTGTTCCTCTCTGCTTGCCGTCCCGCGAAGAGACCAGGGACTCCAAGTCCGAGAGCAGGGAGAGACGTCTGCAGTTTAAATAAACAGCTATAAAGGAATATCAGTAAACAACTGATGGTATTATGCACTCTGTCCTCACTTCCCTACTTCAACAATCAGAATGTGGCTTACCCTTCACACTGGACTGCATCTATTAACCTTAGCCAATACTGTCAATAGTGAGAAATTCTGGGAATTGCAATCCAGTTTCTAATGGACCACATCTTCTGTACCCTGTCCTATTCTAGTGTATTAATATTTTAAAATAAAAAAGCTAGCAAGACCTTAATATGAATGTTACTGCACTGAGGAAGGGCTTGGGAAGCAAAAATTTGCTTCCCCCCTCCTCAGCCCAGGTGTCCTCTGGAGGTCCTCCGAGGGGTCAGCTAGGCTGGGAAAAGACTTGGGAGGCAAACATTTGCTTCCAGCTCTTCTTCCTCAGCCCAGGTGTCCTCTGGAGGTCCTCCAAGGGGACAGCTGGGCTGTGGAGAGGGAGGAAGTGATACTCTCGACTTATTCACGTATCTTATCGAAATCCCTAATTTTGACCCCAAAACATGCCCTCGACTTATACATGATGTTGACTTATAGTTGGGTACATATGGTATGTTAGAAGAAAAAAAACTTTCCTACATTTTTTCTGCCTTGAAGAAAGTTTAATTATTTCTATAATCTGCTGTGCGAGTGAAAGGAAAGCAAGACAACACCTATGAGATTTTTTATTGTTATTTAGGTGTATGAACAGGACAGCCATGAATATGACAGGTTCCAAGCCCAGGAGCATTAAGAAGCCACAAACTAAAATGCAATACCAATGCTCAGGAAAGAATATTCAAAGTAAACAAGCAAACAAAGATTTACCGTGACTGTTTAACAAATGGCAGTAGAATTCACTGGGATTGTACAACGCACACACCATGACATTTACCACCTGTTTAGCTGTTAATGTGACCCAGGATGAATCAACTTGGTCCAGCTTTTGACCTATAAAAATACAAGAAAATATGAATAATCACTAAAGTAATTTTTATTCTATATTCATGTTCTCAATAATTATGCCACACCCCTACCTTTGGTGTAATGTACACAAAGGCAACATGTAAACCAGCAGTTGGCAACCTACGGCCTGCAGGCCAGAACCGGCCTGCCAAGGCCTTGGAACCGGCCCGTGGCCGGTCCTGCCGCTGCCATGCGCCACTCCCGTACTCACATGCGCACGATGGCGGGTGCCATTTTGGAATGCCAAATGGTGCCAGCGTCGTGAGCATGCGCACAGCACCGGCGCCATTTGGCCTTCCAAAACGGCGCACGGCGCCATTCACATGCGTAAGTGGTGCGCCATCCAAAATGGCGCCCCGCACTCGCATGCACACGGTGTTGTGCACTGTTTTGGAACACCAAACGGCGCTTGTGTCATGCGCATGCGCACAGTGCCATCGCCGTTTGGCCTTCCAAAATGGCACCCGCCACCGTGTACATGCGTACCACGGAAGTGGTAGTGCGCATACGTGTGCACCACTGCGCCCCAAAAAAGTTGCCGACCCCTGATGCAAACTTTGCATTTAAAGCAACACTTACAACTTGTGTTCCAAGGGAATATGATGGTAGTGTTACTCCTAAACCTGAATCTATGAAACCAGTTACTTATTACAGTAACAAACTTACCACTCACTTCTTCCAATGAACCAATTCTTCTTTCAACCACTCTCACAGGAGATTCTTCTACTGCATACCCTGATTTTAAAAGGTAACTGGAGACATTTACTACTGGAGTTATGGAATTATCTGTAATTTCTACTACAAAA